GACACATATATATAGCAATACAAATATACATTATTCTTAAATGATACATATCAAATACACTTACATTATCTTGGGATCTTTCATCCACCTTGTTTTAGATTGCAATATTCCTATCTCAGAGATAATCACAATATTACCTATTGTGATTGAACTCACCGTCGTTCCTAAATGATTGTATACCTCCAATTTGAAGCTGCTATAATATGTGCTATAAATCATCTCAGATGTTTCAACAGAGAATTTGGAAGGAAATAGTCTGTACGGAGTCGGACTCACTCACTGACTGACTGACTGACTGACTGACGTGGCCATGCACAGCTCAACATGGCGTCTGGCGTGTGCGTTCGTTTTGCGCATGTCTGCGTCACAGTCACAGGTCATAAAGATATCTCAAGAGGATATCAATGTGAATTATTTAGTTAACGTCGAAGAGATGTAGTTTGAAGAAGTCGCTGCCACATTACATAGTTCCCTGGTTGCGATGTCACCTTGCGACGTTGATATCGAATCTACGTCGATAAGATGTGTTAAAGAGATATTGCATTTATGCAAGGTTGTTACATCACACAGATGTTGATGTCACACGATGGTTGGCTGGGAAGTAGCTAATAGATGTGACCGATTTCAAAATAACATTATCCATATAGTAACCCGATAATTTTTTATATGTTTCCTATTATGTAACTCCAGTCTGCTGGATTCAGTACTTAAACTGCAAAAGAGAGCCATCAGATATGTGTTCAAACTAGGACTACGCAATTCATGTAGGCAGTTATTTGTAGAGAAGAAGATATTGACAGTTGTGGCTTTATTCGTTATGGAAACTGTATGTCTTATACACAAACATAGTTCAAAATTTGAAAATATTTCATCATGTCATAATACTCGACAAAAATCTAAAAATAATTTTGAACTACCCTCACCTTCCTCATCCCTGGTAAAGGACTCCATTTTCTATAATGGCGTCGAAATGTATAACCACCTACCATCTCATTCTAGAGAGAGCCATGATAGTATTGAAGGCTTTAGAAAATATATAAAAAAACTACTCGTAAGCAGACCCTATTATAGTTTGCAAGAATTTTATAATGACAACATTTACTGAAAAATGTGAAATATATTTTCATTTATGATTTTATTGCCTTTATTGTATTGTATACCCGTTTAGAGCGATACCTCATAATAACATAATATGTCGAGAAATTGACAAAATGTTCAAATAACATTGTTTATATCGCTATTTCTTTTTTCATTCATTGACATTTTTTGATTAAATATGTCTGTATATATATATATATATATATACACTGTGTCCATAAAGTCACCCCCCCCCCCCTGGTTAACTATTGAACGGATGGGATTTTTTTTTCAATTTTTTTTGCTTCAATGGTAGTTTCAGTGCTATATGTTGTTCCAAAAAAAAAATATGTATCCTCCAAAATGGCGCCTGGGCGCCATTTTGGAAGATTTTTTTAAATGGAGTGGGGGGTCGAAAGATACCTCGATTGAAAGGTCTTTCGATTCTCTATACAACCTCAGAATCTCAGACGAAAATATTCATCCAAAACAAAATGGCGGATGATAACGTTTGAAATCTCACACCAGAATTCTTTCGACTAGATGGCTATTGAAGTGTTCGCATGTGATCTTCAAATCTCTATTGGCGTAAAGAAGAGTTCTCTATCCATGAAGATATCAATAGGAGACCATTTTGAAGAGAATAACATGGTAGTCAATTATACCTTTGCTCGATTGTCTTTCCAAATTCTGCAAAATTTTAGAAATATTTATTCCACGTGACTACCATGTTATTCTCTTCAAAATGGCTTTCTATTGATATCTTCATAGATAGAGAACTCTTCTATACGCCAATAAAGATTTGAAGATCACATGCGAGCACTTTAATAGCCATCCAGTCGACAGAATTCTGGTGTGAGATTTCAAACGTTATCATCCGCCATTTTGTTTTGGATGAATATTTTTGTCTGAGATTCTGAGGTTGTATAGAGAATCGAAAGACCTTTCAATCGAGGTATCTTTCGACCCCCCACTCCATTTAAAAAAATCTTCCAAAATGGCGCGAAGATACATATTTTTTTTTTGGAACAATATATAGCACTGAAACTACCATTGGAGCAAAAAAAAATTGAAAAAAAAAATCCCATCCGTTCAATAGTTAACCAGGGGGGGGGGTGACTTAATGGACACAGTGTATATATATATGAGTATATAATAATAATAATAATAATAATAATAATAATAATATTTACTTAATGTTCTTATAACAATTATTATAGGTGTACTTTTATTTTATTTATATTTTACATGGTTGTGTGTACTTTGACTATATTTATTTTTGTACTGTTTATCTTCTACTTTGTCAACAAAACTAGATTTTATCGACAATAAAGTATATTTTGATTTGATTTGATATTACCAGACTTAAATATGGGAGTTATAAAACTATTCTTCCAAATGGAAGGAAATATGCCAGAATTGATAGATTTTTTAAATAGAATTGGTAATGGTTTTGTAATGGTGCATACACAGAGTTTCAAAAAATAGTTGGGGATAGTGTCTGGGCCCATGTTCTGCTCATCAGGAATTCTCATTATTTTGGCAACAATTTCAACAACTGTGATTTTTCTTAAACTAATTTCAAAGTGGTAATTAGGCGTAGTGTTTAGTCTCACTGTATACTATTCTGAAATAATTGGCAAAAAGATTAGTTATCTCAGCGACATTATTGGCAGTTAGATCATCTTCCAGGGCTCCAATACCAGCCAGGCAAATCAGAAACGAACGAGGGAGAAATGTTGACAACATAAATATGGACTTGGCAACAATTCTCGAATGGGGATCCAATAACTTGGTAGATTTCAATGCAAACAAAACACAAGCATTCGTTTTCTCTAGAAAAGCCGATCTCACTGTGCCCAACATAAGCTTGTCAGGAGTAACCATACCTTTGAAGACATCCATTTCGATGCTTGGTATTACTATCAGCAATAACCTTTCTTGGGAAAATCACGTGAGATCAATTGCTAAAAGTGCATCCCAAAAACTTGGTATTCTGTTTCGGACCAGGAGCTATTTCACTTCCACTCAGCTGCTTTATAATCTATAAGGCACAGATCCGACCTGTCCTGGAATACTGTTCCCATATTTGGAGTGCACCTCCCAAGCATACCCTGAAACACCGTAGAAAATCTGGCGATCTGGCTCTATTTTCTAGATATTTTCATGGACGATGCTCTTCTGAAGTATCAACAATTGTTCCTCCCTTGGCAGTCCCCGCGAAATTAACCCGTCAAGTTAAGGCTTCGCACCCCTTCGTGGTCACTTTGGAGATCTGCAGAACATCTCTTTCCAAAGACACGTTCATCCAACGAACAGCGAGACTCTGGAACACATAGCCAAGGCAGGTGGTTCTCAAGGCATATAACCTCCAGAAATTTAAGAAGAACACCAATTCCTACCTTATTTCCCTTGGTTCTCATGATGTTCCCTGAACATTACAGGATATCCCTTTTCGTGGGAACTAGAACATATAAAAAAAATCGAATGATATAGTATTAGGAATATGCTGAAATTTTCTCTCGGATTTTCTTTTATCATTTATAAATTCCAGAAATTCCGCGGATTATGGGTAATACTACTTTCTACTCTATTAATATAATTTCTGTAACATTTTTCTGTGAGTGTTTCACATTGTGTTCTAATTTTGCGAAAGATTTGGTAGTCACTATCGGATATAGATATTGTAAACTGCTTGTATGCAATTTTTTTTTCTGTACCATTAATTGTCTTAGCTCTATTCGCGAGATTCACGAAGTGGGCGACATCTAGGTTACATAATACGAACTTCAAACTGGGGGAAAACAAACTGTTGTCTATGGATAAAGTACATAAACTACATTGCATTCAGCTTGTCGTAGCTGTAGTCAAACTTGTCAATGACATAAAGTGTTGGCACTGTTGTTAGTGATGATGGTTGAGTTGGTTAATTTTTTTACATCATTACATTTTTATTAGTTCAGTGAACAGTGAATATGTGAAGAATCGGAGATAGTTTAAACAATTCAAACTAATTATGACGAGCAAATCAATTGACATATAAAAGTACAGCTACAACATTTTTACAATATCCAGATTGTCTTCAATTTTACTTCATGTGTGGAAGATTTCATCGCCGAAGTTTGTAGACAAAGTGCAAAAATGTGCCTTTTGTTGAAGTCTTCTGCCACACACGAAATCACATGATTAGCACGGAGAACTGCTTCTCTTTCCACTACTGGTCGGCTTTTTCCGTCCAAATAGAGCAAAATATTTGTCAAAAGAACATCTACCAACAGGCATTATTAGCGTTTTGGACCGAATATTGACAATTAATTTCAAGAAATTTAAAAACATCACTCTTATCAGTATACAGTACACAAGCTAATGGCACTGAGGGGATTGAGTGAGGATTGAGTTTGTTTTCCCCCAGTTTTGACGTAGCTTTGACATGGAACGATGAAAACCGAGCGCCACCTGGTGACATTGATTACCGCGAATATTGAATCATTGAGAAAAATTAGATATTTTTGCCTTCTTCTGAGGCACAATTTGACATACCATATTGAAGCTAAATAATTGTTCAACCCAACATAATTTGCATTACTAAAATCGTAATAAGTATCATCTGCTCTGAGAAACTTAATATTACTTTGCATGTTGACACTTATGCAATATGATTTTGGAACAAGTCATCTGATTTTTCCTTTGACCAATGGACCAATGTTTATAAGAACTTTTCTTCCTAAAATGGGGTGTTCTATCAATTGTCTATTTACTTTTCAAGTTATGTTCATTATGAAATGCTCCTTTATTATGCGAGTCTCTATAACGTCTCAAAATTGATGTAAAAAATTCTGGACAATTTACACATAATAGGTAATCACTAGGTCTCCATTATATCTATTTTTTATAGGTGAATAGTAACTTATTAGAGATTAAATATGGCAGCCAAACCAGCACCAACACCAGTATCAGCAGCAGTGTCTCAGATAGGATTATCAAAGGAATCTTTGAAACATTTGAAGTGCGGGACGTGCGAAGGATTCTTATCTGTACCCCCAATAACCATGGAAAAGGAAGGAAATTACGCATGTGGTCGTTGCAACTCATCGGGTACTAGGGTTTTGATATATGAAGAGTTAGCCAAGTATATGGTATTCCCCTGTAAGTATGAAAAATGTAAAACACAGATTGCATGGGGACAAGTAGACAACCATGAAAAGGTGTGTCCACAACGAACATTGGTTTGCCCATTCAAAAGCTGTAAAGAAATATATGCTCTGAAAACAATACTTCAGCATTTCAAAGCCACCCATAAGGAATATATTTATGAAAATGAGACACAGATTATGAGGAAAATGAAAAATATGCCAGCAAAAAACTTCATTGATGATCGTAAATTCTTCCTATTTCTGTTCAATGCAGTTCCATACATTGTTATGGTTTCCTTAGAACACTCTACTGGAGAAGATCCTCAGTCAATCAAAGGTTACCAATTTGCCTTTGGTGTATTCTGTCTTGATCCGTCATCAAAAAAGTTTGAGTATGATTTGAATTTGGAAATAACAAGCAGCAGTGGCATATCAAAAAAATATGAGCTGAAAAATAAAGAAATTAAACCGTTTGACCAGAGACATCATTGTCTAAAATGTTTGAGTGGAAGTTGCAGTTTGCCTTGTCATAAAAATGACAAAAATAAAAAGTGGCTCAATAAAATCAAGATGGACAACCAGGGTGATATGAATGCAACATATACAATTACAATTCATGACAAATCAACGTCACAAGCGATCAGTAATACAGAAATCCCAAATGTGGATACTATTAAAAAAATAACATGTTTCTGTAGAGAATTAATGTCTGCTCCTATTTATGTTTGTGTATCTGGTCACAGTCTTTGCATGAATTGTAAAAGAAATATGACATATTGTCCAGTATGTAGACAAACGATAAGTGACACTAGAAATCTTGTTTTGGAAGAGATTGCAGAAACTGTCAGAACACCATGTCAGAATGCTGATAAAGGTTGCAAATATAGTGGTTCAGTTAAAAGTACAAAACAGCATTTGATGGACTGTAAATACAATTTTGTGTGAGACTTGGATACATGGTTTTGTAGTAATAACATTTCATCAAATACAGGGTGACCAACAAAAACGTCCCAAGCCATAGCGTCATTCCAATTTGACTGCTTTAATGAGTTAACGATAGAGACAGTCAAATTTTCATTTTCGGGTAGGATTGTATTTTTTATTTTGAAATTACAACATATACATTCCTTAATTTGTTCTTATTGAGAACATTATTTCCTCATTTAATCATAATTCCTGTTATTAATGACGAAATAGGTGATGAATTGAAACGTTACCACATATTCAACAATGCTTGAACGCTGCTGCGTGCCATCACTTTAGGTAGGTATTATATGACTCCAATTTCAGTGTCAAGATTTCTTGAGCACATTTCACTGGTTTTTGAAATGTTGCTGGTTCAAAGATCATTCTAGTTGTCAACTGAGCACTTTGTCGCATTCCATTCGATTTTTTTTAAATTACACATTTTAAAGCGAAAACGAGAATTACCCTATTGCAATGCAGTGGTTAATCATGAATTGAATGAAATCAACATATATTGTATACCACTAGTATCACAACCAGTATACTTGTCTCATGTTCCAATTACCAATAATTATCATATTATTATAAGAAATGTTGAATATCTTCCCTGAAACTATAATTTTTCAGAAGAGTATTTGTATTGCATATCAATCTCTATATTAATATATATTCAGAAAGATAAATTCAGACAAGTACTTGCAAATCGATCTTTAGAATGATTTCCGCATTCATGCTCGTTTTATGAGATGTATTCCATATTCTTGCCAGTTATCAAATCAGTTGTTCATGGATTTTTAATGTTATATTTGACGGAATATAACAACCTCTGTAGGACCTACCTACTATAGGTTCTGAAGGTAATATCCTAGAGAAGAAGAGAACCCTTGCAAAATAGTAATTTACGGAACAAGTCCGGAAAATACTGTTTTTATTTTGACGAGTAGACAAGATTCTACGCCGAGCCGTAGGCGAGTCCTGGAAGTCTGCGAGTCCTAAAAAATTGTTTTTGACGTGTTGTGTAGACAATTTTTTCGGCAACCATATGTAGAATAACAATTCAATGAGACACATTTTCATATTATATTTCTTTGTGCTACATTGGAAATTTCGTATGGACATTTTCAAACTCACTATCGCTGCTGCTTTCGATAGTTTATTGCGATAATTGCAACCAAACTTTCAAAAATCCAAATGTCAACTAATTTCATGTCAAATAGCTGTTAGCCGATATTTCGCTGCTATGGTAATTATCATCTGCATTTATCAAAACCTTATCTACCAAGATTTACATAGTTACAGTGACAACAACGATGTCAGGGAAGTGAGCACTTCCCGGAGGGTTGCCGAAAAACCATATTCCTAAATGGAAAAACTAAACACATGAATTTTTGGCCATTCTTTCGATTTTTATAATTCTGTTGGCACTGTGGTAAAGAACACATGAGACATTGTCGTTTGCGCCTATCACAACAATTTGGGTAGATGCGTAAACGAACAAAACAAATTGGGACCAAATCGTTGATTGATATATTACGCTTACGCTGGGAAGATGCCCAACCTATGTTATTCGCGAGTCGATGCCCCGCTCATCCCCTCGTCTATCGTTTAGCCACTGTGAGGTAGCGACTCCACTAGGCACACAGAACATGTCTGAACTAATTGTACAGATTACTACACTTTTGTACAGAATCACAGATCCCATCCCACCGCGTGCTATCGCTCCAGAAATTTTTGTTAATCCTTGTCTTCTACGATGAGACCCGACCCGCCCGACCGGTTCCGATAAAAAAATGTTTGCTACGGTCGGTGAATCCCATGGAAAGTATTGATTTTTTCCTCGGTTCCTTGCGAAAGAGAGAAGAACATATTATGATCTCTCACTCAGTTGGGTTCCTACTCCGTGGCCTTTTTTTAAATTCCCTTGTGAATAACTTCTAACTTGTCATACTTTGCCTAGACCCTAGCCCTAGACCAATATAATTTGTATATCTGGAAAAACATCTCACGCCTTTTCGTTGATTATTGTTTTCACTCAATTTGTATCCATTTTAAAGTTTTGTATTACAAAATATTGATAATATAATCAATCTGAATGAGATAATTTCTTAGAGTCTCATCAGTAGATAGAAAATAAATAGTCAGATATCTTTGAATCTTTGATTGTTAATGGTTCACTATAAAAATGAAATAAAATACATCCTCTATAATAGGCATAATATACAGAGTGAGTCATAACTATTGGACCATATACAGTGTGTCCATTTAGTGCGTAATTCTTCGATATCTCGAAAGCCATAACCTATAGAGAAAAACTTTGAAGAAAACACTTTTTCAGTTACTGAAGTTCCTCATTTCAAAAATATTTTCAACATTACTGGGTGTTTTATAGAAGCGGGACGACTCGGAGACGAGTTTTTTTAAATGAAACACCCAGTATTTTTTATTACGAATTTATTCCGTCGAGGATTACCTTCACATCGCTGTGAAAAAAATTGAATTTGGTTGCGGCGTTGCGAAGTTATAATTGATAAACCAATTTTTACCACTATTGAAGAGTCATGTTGAATTGGGCATGGTATTTTCATTTATCCAAATTTTGAAAATATTTTTGGCATACAGTAGTAGCAAAGTCTCACGTACACCAATCCAGTAATTTTGCGAGATGATCCTTTACAGGGTGCTAAAATTTACATTTTGAATATTGTAAGATTCAGACGACGTTCATTAGAATTTTTCAAATTGAACACCCTGTATTTCTCATCACAGAATTATTTCGACAACATTCGCCTTCTCATCGATGAAAAAAAAATCAAAATCGGTTACGGCGTTTTCAAGTTATGAGTAATTTCCTTATGTTTATCACTATCTCAGGGCTACTTATAAGGCATGGTTCCTTTATATGATTTGAGTGTGGAAATATTGCTTGTCACATGACATTCGAGGTTCTACATAGATCATTCAGGTATTTTTGCGATATGTGCATTGTCCAAATTTTGAATATTCCGTAATCTTGTTACTTATGATTAAAATCATATGTACCTATGTGAAACAAACGAACATGTCAAGAACAACGGCTGCCCCTGAAACAGTGTTCTGAAGGCCTTCAGAATAGTGGTCTGAAGGCTTGCTCAAACAGTTGAACCTAATTCAAAGAGTTTCTATGTCAATTACATTCTTGAGTTCGGAGCTTCAACCCATTATTTATCGTCAATTTTCCCAAAAAACCCACTGGAGCACAATTATACACTGAAAAATTGAAAAATACCTGAAATTCTCACAAACACATGGATTATAAATTGAATATCTGCGGGCCCATCATCTTTAGTGGCGCAAAAATCTTTGAAATTATTCCCTATAGGTAAGTAATTCGAGATATATTTGATTTTGGCGATGTTTGACACGTCATTACACAAATAATAGAAGTGTATTTCAAAAAATGAATTCATAGTCTGCAAAAAATCTGTGAAAGTAGCATTTTGAATCAACTAGTCGAAACCCACTCTGTTTTGAATTCAAACTTGGAGAGCCTATTAATGTTCCTATTGTGAAAAATATATGATTGGTCAATGGAGGAATATGATTATACTGTAGCAACGCAATATTTCCACAACACAAAGAAATGAAAGAATTATGACGTACAAATTACCCCGGAATAGTAGTAAAGATAAGGAAATTATTCATAACTTGACAACGCCGCAACCGATTTCGATTTTTTCTTCAGCGATAAAAAGGCCAAAGATGTCGGAATGAATTTATGAATGGAAATACAGGGTGTACCTTTTGAAAATTTCTAATGAATATCATCTGAATCTTGCAAAATTCTGAATGCAAAATTGAGCACCCTGTTGAAGAACATGTCGCAAAATTACAGGATTGGTATACGTGAGACCTTGCTTCTACTGTATGCCGAAAATATTTTCAAAATTTGGATAAATGAAAATACCATGCCCAATTCAACATGACTCTTCAATAGTGGTAAAAATTGGTTTATCAATTATAACTTCGCAACGCCGCAACCGAATTCAATTTTTTCGACAGAATGAATTCCGAATAAAAAATACTGGGTGTTCCATTTAAAAAAACTCGTCTCCGAGTCGTCCCGCTTTTATAAAACACCCAGTAATGTTAAAAATATTTTTGAAATGAGCAACTTCAGTAACTGAAAAAGTTTTTCCTTCAAAGTTTTTCTCTATAGGTTATGGCTTTTGAGATATCGAAGAATTACGCACTAAATGGACACACTGTTATAGAATTCATTTATTTATTGGATTACAAGAGTTGATGCTGCAAGCTTATGAACCATTTTTTACAGTATCTAGTTGTTGAAAAATATGAATTCTTTTTTGGTATATTCGAAGAGATAAAAACAAAATCAACAGAAAACAGCTACATTTCCAGTCTATATGCCACGATATATAATCATGAAATCGGCGTTGATATTTTGTGATACCACTAACTTTTTCTGAGTAGAATCGATTTTGCCGCTCCAGAACAAGGGAGTACAGACTACGGAACGCTCAGAATCTCCGCCCTAACAACACAGGGATGTATACTAGGTACTTCCCCTCTTTGTCACACGGTACAAGGACATAATTGGGGTATCCAGGGGATGTTCCGCAGTGGTTGTCCAGTGGACATCCGGCCCCGTACATCCATAGGTTATCCAATTCGTGTCCTTGGAATATCTGATATCTATTCACATCAGAGTCATTGACTTTCATCAAAATATTGAGTTGAATTTTTATGAAAATGTTTGGATTTTTTCTGGTAAATAATTGTAATGAAAATGAAGAAAGTCAGAACTTCTCAAGAAATGACCATTTTTCGCAAACAGAAATCGTAAATGCATAATGCCCCTCATTTTTAAACATCCACGAATGATAATAATTATTCCCTAAATCCTAACAAAGTTGTATTTATTCCATATTCCATATTATATACCATAGTATAAAATACTTTGGATTGATAGCGGTATAGAATTGTCACGCAATGTTCCGCGTTTTTCATGTGATAAATATCAGTAATTTCAATAATAAAAATTTCAAAAATTGTACATAGCTCTGACAAGAAAATGATTTGCGACAGTGAATTATCGTTTGATTTAGTAATTCGACATAATGAAATATGAAATTCCACTCAAACAGACCCATGTAGATTCAGTTCTAGGGTAAAATACACTAAGGTGACAACACTGGTCCGGGTTCGTGAATTTCAATCAAATTTATGAGCAGCTTATATATTGATATCCGCTGACCAGTGTATTCCACAATCGCCAAAAATGGAAGCATTTATTGTTGAGACATTAAATTTTGTGATTCACTCCAATTCGATTTCTATAAACTTTTTTCATGATCTCACATCCGTGATGCGCTCGTCAGAAGCACATCCAGTACAACTATTACTAACAAATTCGAATTTACCGCCATATTAGTTAGAATCGTACTGATTGATCATGGATTCGATACAAGCGTTCCGGATTATGGATTGTTTAATTGTTCCAAGTCGCACGCCATCTGCATTCCAATAGATTCTCTTCGTAAGTGGCGCACCTGCCCGTCAAATTACGAAGTATTGCTCCGACATCGTTCGACACTATCGCCGCCACTATGTGAGATTTTGAACTATGGTACGCCATCTAGTTGTGAGATTTTTTTGGACATCGTTTTGCCCCATAAGGTTGGGCATCTTCCCAGCGTAAGCGTAATATATCAATCAACGACCAAATGAATGAACGCTCTCCGTTAACAACCTGCCCTTGTCAGACTATGATTGACCTTGTATAGGTGGTAACTGTTAAAACCTCAACTGTTTTCAGTTCATGTAAAGAAAACGTTTCCTTGTTGTCACCCTGTATTTATTTTTATATATTTCTATATGAAATTTTAATTTTCCAAAAATGTTTTTGTTCATTCTTTTGCCACATTATTTTAGTGAATTTCTTCAATTGAAGTTTTTTATTATTGTTGAGTAAAGAAAGTGTTTGATTTATTATTTGCCACATTAGTTTAGTGAATTTCTTCAACTGAAGTTTTTTATTATTGTTGAGTAAAGAAACTGTTTGATTTATTAAAAGAATGCTTTATTTTCCTACTAACTTTTACCCATGACTTTGCTCGCGTTAAAGCCCTTAAATTGATATCAAAGATCATTGATATCAAAGATCATTGCATTACAATTGAAAATGAATAAGTTTCGAAAACTGGAAACATGCTTTATTGAAATAATTCACTGCAGCAAAAGTTAAGATGTAATTCACTACAACAAAAATAAGTCCTGAAAAGAAACATCATTGAAATTATTGAAGTATATTTTTCAATTAATCGCTTCGAAAAAACAATTATGTTTCCTGCGAATTAATGTATGAGTCTATGGGTTGTTCAAAATTGTTGCTCATTTCAAACGTACAGTGCGTACAAGTATATTACAGAGAGAAATTAACGTCATCCTATTCTGCATAAAACGGGCTATCGGGAATGATTGCTTACCAAATGTTGACAGTAGAGTTGTCATAGGTTCTCAGAAACACAAAGCATTGGCTGAGCCAGCTTTACACAACTAGAACTAGGATCCCGAAATCCTCTCTTTTTAATACTTGTACGCTTTTTTATTGAATACGACTATACCGTCATGGCCGCCATTTGGTGATACGTCGAATAAATGGAGTCGTCAGGTTTTATGCTGTTTCGTTATTGGTCAGATAATCTTCCATTCCCACTCATGAAGCAAGGTTGTCAAGTCACCAATTATAATTAAGTTACACGAGATGAAACATAATAGGAGGAAGCCATGATACTATACCGGGTGACACAGGAGACATGTAGCAGCCTGTAGTTTTTTTATTTGAAGAGATACAATTTTGAAATTCACAGGTGGTATATAATAAATGGTAGCGCACTTTACGAACTTAACGACAATTTTTTTCAACCACCTGTTTGACCGGAAGTGACCCTAACTTTTTTTTTCAAATGTCACCCTGTACATTTCTTCAGTCTATCTTTTTCGCCTTGAAATTCTCTATCCAACCATGTATCACAAAGTGACATTTATTTCTCAATTCGTTGTTGAATTGCTTTTTATTAAAAAAGAATAAGTTGGCTGTGACATGAATTCGATGATATATCGACACTTGGTAGGCTTTGAAATTTAAATATCATTAGTAAACCGATATTATTCAAAATGTTTCTATGACAAATGTGTTATGAAGGAAATGGCGATTTAATTTCTTCAATTTTCCAAAGGAAATATCAACCATTCCCTTATTATAGAAAGAATGTATGAAACGGCCTGGATGGAAAATTGATTCGAAGACAAGCAAAATTTGTGAGTTAAGTACATTAAAATTCACTTCTTATAACAGCAGATTGGAATGAAACATAATTTTAGGCTCATTTTCAAACAGAAGATTTACAAAACAGACTATTAAAAAAAGATCAATATGATCATCAGATGAAATGCAAAAAAAAATTATCATAGAGAGAGGAATTGATTGCAAAACTTCGTAATGAAATTGAAAATTTGAGAACGAAACTGAAGAAATGAAGTAAATTGCAACATGATAATTGAATGGCGTTTTCGATACCGACCAAATTCAAAATTAATCAGTAAAAAGTGAATTCAGCAAAAGGTGGAAAAGCAAAACAATCTTCATCTTTATCCGTATGTGTCTATTTTGTCATATTAAAATGTTGTTACATGAATTCTTTTCATTTTTATAACTATAATTCTGCGAAGTGTATCACTATATAAATAATTTATTGAAGTGGGTGTTTATACCCTATTTCTATTTTCCATCTACGACAATGATTGATTTGACAGAAAATCCAACCTCTAAAGGCGTATTTGACAATTAGGCGCTACTAGGGAAATTGAAAAGACAAAGAGCAGAATATATGTCTTATTCTTTTATTCACTCAAACCATTGAAAAGGACAGAAGTTCAGCTGTGTCCGAACTCTTATCTAACTAATACCATCCAGTGACTCTACCATTCTCCAACCTTCTGCTTCATCATGTTTTGGATTGAAGTGTGATCCATTTTTGTTCCTTCCTAATACAATGGTTTTTTATCCATGTCAATACCATCCTTTTAAGAGAAGATACAAGTGTTTAAAGAAAGTATGGATTTTTTGAATTTATATTAACGATGATTCAGAACCATTCTCCAACCTTCTGCTTCATCATGTTATGGATTGAAGTGCGATCCCTTTTTGTCCCTTCCTTACACAATAATTTTTTATTCATCTCTATATCTTTTTTTTAAGATTTTAAGATACCATCCAGTCTCTACCATTCTCCAACCTTCTGCTTCATCATGTTTGGGATTGAAGTGTGATCCCTTTTTGTCCCTTCCTAATACAATGGTTTTTGATTCATGTCAATATCATCTTCTTAAGAGAAGATACAAGTGTTTTAAGAAATGATGGATTTTTTAGATTTATATCAACATTTTAGAACAACAACAACAACAATTGATTCAGAACCATTCTCCAACCTTCTGCTTCATCATGTTCTGGATTGAAGAGTGATCCCTCTTTGTCCCTTCCTATGGTTCTTGATTCATGTCTAGCTTCTTTTCAAGAGATGATACAAGTGTTTTAAGAAAATATGGCTTTTTTGAATTTTCATCAACAATAATCCAGAGAAAAATTTGATCAAATCTATGCCAGGGCGGTTGAATGCTGTAATTCAAGTTCGAGGAGGGCATATTTATTATTGACTACATCTAGAAGGTATGCTTTTCGTTTGGTTCCTCTTTGCTGGTAGTGCTAAAAAATGGGGGCGGAAATAACTGATATTAATTTTTAGATGTTTTTTCGAGTTGTTAATTGATAAATTCATGTGTGTTCTGCTGCATATTAAAAAAATGCATACTTAATTAAAACACCTATTGTATCATAAAGAAGATATTGACGTGAATAAATAGTTATTTATGTATTAAGGGAATTATGAGGGCCTTAATTACCGATGGCAAAGTTTGCGTCCCGAGGGCCTCTGGCCCGAGGGACAGCAATTGCCTGAGGTTATTGAGGCTCAGTAATTCCCGTGATACATAGATAATATTATTTCTGACTGATTTCATTCATTAGATACCTTCCCGATTGGAAGTTAGACATGTTTTTCCCTATAGTTTCAATGTCATCAGAACATCAGATGATGATCTTGACTACCGCGAATAGGAGATTCCTTATTGCTACGTTACTGCGTGGTTGTTGCTATGCATTTCTTTTTTAATTTTAGAGGGAATTATAGCATCTATAACATCCCAAGGGAGTTATGACCCTCATAATAGATATCGTAACTATGACGATATAAGATTATAATGTCACTGTCAGAAATAAAAACTTTTATGTTGAGAAGGAACCACACTTGGATTCAAAACAAAATGAAACTAGGTTTAACCACTCACTTTTGCCACAGGGCGTTAAGAAGTTGAGCGTGGAATAGTAAGATTTGGTTTTTTCCTGTATAAAGATCAAGCCATAAACTTTTTTGAGAACTTCAGAAATTCAGGTTAACATTTCCAAACGCTAGTCTACGATTTGGTTGCAATTACACCAAAATCGAACAAGAAATAAAAAAGTTACAGGGCGCCCAATTTGGTTAATATTTTTGGTGGCCGGCCGTTTTTTTTGCCGGCGACTGTATTTTACGGAGTATTTTTCTAGTATGAGAACATTGAAAATGTTCCCGTTCCATAAATATAAAAAGACTTGCAATTCAATAATAATTATATTAACAAATAATATAACAAATATATACAAGTTTCTCTACAGATCCAGCATTGGACATAATAAATACTCAATTATTTAAAAATGTACAAAAAAACTACATACACCTCTTTTCAATATATTATTATACTTATCCTACATTTTCAGATTGGTAAAAATATGTCAAAAAAATTGTATACCAAATATTGTTCAATTTTCCAATAAATTGCTCTCACCTCTCAGACCATATTCAAAACCAAATCAATCACCAACATTTTAAATTCAAATTATTTTCTAGTTTCGAGAATTTACAAAAAAATTAAACCCTAATCGATGTTTTCTAATGATCCAAGTTGTGATAACATTCTGATTACCTCGGCTTTTTGGTTGTCGTTCAGTTTCTCAATGATCGCCACCACAGCATCGAGAGCAACATCTGGACATTCCTATAAAAATATCGTTTGAGAAAAGCAAATATAGCATGTTTTGGATTCTCCTATTTTTCAGGTAAGGGGATTACTTGATAATGGTATTTTCAAATTTGGGGTACCTAATCAATTTCTAAGCATTATTCAATATTTCAGAATTGATTGAAAGCATTCAAATTGACAAAAAACAGATTCAAACTAGTCGATTCTGATTTGAAACTAATCGAATTTGACTCAATTGAACATAATAGGCAAGAACACTAATTTTTTGAAGAAGAAGAGAACCCTTGCAAAATAGTAATTTACGGAACAAGTCCGGAAAATACTGTTTTTTTGGACGAGTAGACAAAATTCTACGCTGAGCCATAGGCGAGTCCTGGAAGTTTGCGAGTCTAAAAAAAATGTTCTTGGACGTGTTGCATACACTATTTTTTCGACAACCATGTAGAATAACAAATCAATAAAACACATTTCCATATCATATTCCTTTGTAGAATACAATTTCTTATTTATTAATCCTCATTTGTATCAAATACTGAAATTTGAACAGGATACCTTTATCTACTAAGTGTTACATTGGAAATTTCGTATGGACATTTTCAAACTCACTATCGCTGCTGCTTTCGATAGTTTATTGCGATAATTACAACCAAACTTTCAAAAATCAAAATGTCATCTAATTTCATGTCAAATAGCTACCAGTCGATATTTCGCTGCTATGGTAATTATCATCTGCATTTATCAAAACCATATTTACCAAGATTTTCATAATTACAGTGACAACAACGATGTAATACTTCCCGGACTAGGCCGGAAAAATGCTACTTTCTCAAAGAAAAAGGGTCCGGGAAGTGAGCACTTCCCGGACAGTTGCCAAAAAATTATATTCCCAAAGAAATCCTCCCTTTAGAACACGACCGAAAATTGTCAGGAGTACTGACGTCACAAGTTCTATAACGTGTCGACCCATTGGTAGCCGGGAGAAAAATCGGTAATTCACAATTCGGTGAGATAAACAGCGTTGCCGTCTCAACCGATTCTTTAGGGTGGAAAATCTGTACAGGGTTATTCATCGAGAAGGTCCACCACAATATTCACGTTATTTTTGATCTAGAAAAAACAACCGATATGCGGAAGTTGAATGCCGCAATGAGACCTTTCCACAGCCCTTATCAGAAGTTTAACAGGGTGTCCCCTAAAAGCGTGACAAATCACAAATTGAATCACAATTTTTCAAAGGAACACCGTTTTTTATATTTTTTTCGAAATCTGCCATTTTTCATGATCACGAAAGTATACAGAGAAGAGTACAAAAAACGCCCAGGATTGTAACTTTTGAATTATTCTAGATAGCAGCATATGGAAACTTAGAAACTTAGAAACTTAGATTATGGAATACAATATAGGGTGTCACATTTAAAAATCAAAAGTATAGAATCGTTTCCAGTAAAACCGGAAGTGATAGAACAAAAATTGTTTCGTCAATTAATGAGCAATTTGGTATACTAGCCGCCCACCAATTTTCAAAACCCTATCTCGAATAATTGAAAAGTTACAGCCCTGGCCGTTTTTTGTGCACTTCTCTGTATATATACAGTACATCTTTTATTTTCACTTTTTGAACCCAGAAAAACATTTTTTCTGATAAATTGGTATATGCTTTTGTGATCACAAAAAATCACAGATTCTGAAAAAAATATAAAAGAATCAATTTGTGGTTTGTCACGCTTTTAGGGATCACCATGTGAAACTTCTGATAAGGGCTGTCGAAAGACTTCATTGCGGCATTCGACTTCCGCATTTCGTTTGTTTTTCTCCATAAAAAATAACGTGGCCCTTCTCGATGAATAACCCTGTACAATATCATATCTCTGAAAAATGTGTGAAAGTATATACAGGGTGTTTCTTGAGTACGTGTAGAAAATTCAGGAGCATGTTGCTGACGTCAAAATAAGAAAAGTTCGTATAAATATATGTCTGGAAGTTATTCGTTTCTGAGATAGAGAGTGTCAAAGTTGAATTCTTTTTTCGTTTTTTTGTTAATAAATTTCAAAATAATTGTGATATTCGAATAAAGTTTGGCATCTAGAGGTATTTTCCAATGAGAATATCAAATGTAATGTTAGTTAGTCTGTTTCGTGGGGGTGGCGCCACCTACATGTCTTTTGAGTCTTCTGAAGTCATACATTTTTTCTGCGTACCTGTATCTCGTTTTATAGTAGAAAAATAGATTTCTAGAACACTTTTGCGTGAAAAATATATTCCTGGTAGAGGTTGCTGCGAGAAACTGTGTTCGAGTTATTGGGATTTGAAATAATCGATGCATTTGAATAATTTTTTTTGTGGGGTCACCTGAAGTTCATACGGTGCCAATAGAAAGCGAAGATCAACTTCGTCAACTGATCATTGTTGGATATGGCGCTATGCAAAATACACCTGGTATAATGGAATGTGTACGTGGATCTATGAGACGACGAGCAGACGCATGTATATGCAAGGTGGCCACTTTGAACAATTATTACTTTAATCAATTCCCTCAACTAACTGTTAGTATTAATTTGGTCTTAATTGATTCCTATTTTAAAATGAAATCAAATAAAAATAACTTCCCTTAATAAATCAAATTTTAATTCTCACTTCTTGTCATTCCAAATTACTGGCTTTGATTATTTCAAATCCCACCAGGAATATATTTTTTACACAAGAATGTTCTAGAAATCTGTTTTTCTACTATAAAACGTGATAAAGGTACGCACAAAAAAGTTATGACTTTTCAAAAGACTCGAAAGACATGTAGGTGGCGCCACCCCCACGAAAGAGGCAAACTAACATAAAATTGATATTGTCATTGGAAAATACCCCTAGATACCAAACTTTATTCGAATATCACAATTATTCTGAAATTCATTTACAAGAAACAGAATTAAGAATTCAACTTTGACACAGAGTGTCAGAAACGAATAACTTTCGGACATATATTTATATTGATTGTCTTTATTACCCCAAGAAACATTATTGTTTATAATAGGGATATATACAACAAAACATACATATTATAAAACATAATAAATCGAAACAATAATAATTGCACAATTATTGTTTTTCCTAAAAAAAAAAGAATTATAATAAAATATGAAATGAAAATATTATAATCCATTACAAGTAATCAAATTGTGAATGATTAGTACTATTAAAGTTTACTGAGCAGATATTTCTTTAATTTCATTTTAAATTTTTCTGCTTCTATATTTTTCAACTCATTAGGTAAGGAGTTATACAAAATTATTCCATCATGGAATATTGATTGTTTACCAAAATTTGACTTATAATTATTTGCTATCAATAAATTGAATTGCCTTGTTTCATGGGCGTGAATCGCATTAACTTCATTAAAATTCAAATTCGATATTTTCAATTCCTTCCTGACAAAATGAATAAAACAACAAATTTTGAGTTCATATAATGAAACTAGATTCAGCAAGTCTTTAGGTTTGTATAGATTCGCAGTCGATTCTAAAAAAGGTAAATTGAAAATGCACTTTATTGTTTTATTTTGTAATTTCATGAGTGGCTTCAAACGTGAAATATTTGTACTTCCCCAAATGATATTAGATATTGTATATTTGAAAAAATATACATAATATACAATATACAATAAAAAATACAGAAATAAATACTCTTTAGGTATTTAACAGGAATGAAATTTCGAATTTTATATATAATACCAGCAATAGGATTCCATTTTTTTCTCAATTGATCTATATGTAGAGTCCACGATAGTTGTTCATCTATATATAGACCTAAAAATTTTCTTACATTTTTATATTCAATGGATTTGTTATTGAAACATATTGGGGTATTATTCAATATATCCGTTTTTCTTTTTGAGATGTACATATACGTAGATTTACTATAATTTAGAGTCAACTTATTGGTCACTAGCCAAGATGATATTTGTTTCAAATCATTTTTAATATCATTATTGATATCGTTGAAATCTTTTGAAGTATAAATTATTGTTGTATCATCTGCAAATAATTTTAGTTTTCCTTTCAATTTTAAAGTAGATATTGAGTTGATATAGATTAAAAATAAAATTGGCCCCAAAACTGATCCTTGCGGTACACCACATGTAATATTCATCAAGGAACTACAAGTATTATTCACATCAACATGCTGTTTCCTATTCTTCAAATAATTTTGGAACCAATCATGAATTTTGCCTCTGACACCTATTGATGATAATTTAGTCAATAAAATATTATGAACTTCTCTTCTCATTTTGACGTCAGCAACATGCTCCTGAATCTTCTACACTTGAGAAACACCCCGTATATATACAGGGTGTCCCGTGCCTCGATGGCCATAGCTCAAGAGCATATTCCTTGAACAATTTCAAGTCGAAAGTGCCTCATACACTTTTGTCTTAAACGGAATAGTTAAGAAATTATGAGCAATTAGATAACAATTTTGCTCACCAGTCGATTTCAAGAGGTGGTCCAGTTGTTTGGCCACCATGGTCACCTGACCACTACTATCTTTGGGTACCCATGAAAAAACTACTGTATTCAATAAAACACAAACCAGAGATGATCTAATTCAAAATATCAGGACTACAGCTGCATCCATAAGAGACGTCCCAGATACTTTTCAGAGAGCAACGTTTTCAATAATTAGATGAGCAAGAATGTGTTGTTAAGCAGCAGGGGGGGGGGCATTTTGAACAAAACCTTAATTAAATTTGTGTAAGTAATCAAAAAATTCTAAATTGATAAAATATTACATTACTTTATTCCCAACATTCTTTTTGCGTCATTATACACTTCTGTTAAGATTTAATATTGCTCATTACTCCTCAACTGGAATTCATTGCCTGAGGAAGTATTCCCAGCAACATATAATCTCCAGAAGTTCAAAAAAAAATTCCAATACCTACCTCATGTCCCTATGGTCCCTAGGAACGCACGATGTTCTTTGAACATTATAGGGATTTTCTTTAGTGCGCTCTAAGCGGTAAAAAAAATGTTTCGACTTGAAATTGTTCAAGCAATATGCCCTTAAGCTATCGGCATCGAGTCACGGGACACCCTGTATATAACACTCAATCCTGTAAGACTTTATGCAAAACTAATTATGCAAATGTTCAAGTTATCAGCTAAAAAAGTAGCATGTAGTGCATGAAAAAAAAAAAAAAATTACTACTTTTCATATGAGATTTTACACTCATCACTTAAAATAAAATGTATATCTTTATAACACAGGCGGGATTTCTCACACCTCAGAGATGTTAAGTGCACTGTCACTAGTAGCTGACTAAAAACTGAATTAACGCCAGAATATCACAGAATGAAGTGTTTTGGGAAGCTATAGGCAACCAATTGAACGTACGTTCATTCAGATGTAAATTGCAGTGATTTAAAATTTGTTGGGACATGTAAGACCCCACCAGTGTGACGCTGGGTTAACGTTCATCGATCTCAAAATTTAACTGATTTCAAATATGTCATGGATGTAGGTACTGAGCAAGACAGTTTTAAACTCAACCTGTTCTTGTTTTATTGAACACTAGTTTGTGTCATATCATGACAGAGATATTAAAGTGATGATACCAGAACTTGAGGTTCATTAAAATGGCAAGTATACTATACCAAAATCGTTCAGTTAGATTGTTGTATAAATGAATAATTCAGGATTAGACCGAAATTTGTCGCTGATGATCGAACCTGTACGTACGTGCTACAAACCTACTCGATTGTTAATCATATCAGCTATCAGCTTGTAGTATTGGGAATGGGGGTAAAACCTATATATTTACTACCAATGAACATCAAATTATCTGTTACAGTTGGATCGATTCAAACATTTAGAAATATTCACTTGATATCTGATTATGACGTCAGTACTGGATAGACAAATTTGTCGCTGAACGCTATGTTTGAACGTTCCATTAAATTTTTGGTTATTCACATTTAAATTATTGAAATCACGCATTGGTGTTCTTGCTTATCATAAAATTTATTCAAGCATATGCACCAGAGGATTGTGCTTGTGCCCATATGTGTATACATGGTATGTGACGACGAGCTTACACTATCTTTATATCAAGAATCAGTCGCAAGAACTTTATGAAAATGTGTATGCTTATCGTCTTCATTATTTCCATACATGAAATAAACATCAATCTCATCTTATAAATACTATAACTGGAAATAAAGGGCGAAGTTCATTTCCTGTAAATCAAGGATTTCCAGATAATGCTTTTCCACTTAACCCTTAAAAATAAAAATATATGAATGAAGATCTATAGGTGGATATACAGTCTGTCCAAGATAAGGTTGAACAGCATGGGGATCTCGGAAACGGTAGGAGATACGAAGTCGCTTAAATGGGGAAAAAGTTGCGCATTCGGAGGCTCATATCAAGAGCCTTCAAAAATTTCGAAAATTATTTTTAGTTTTTGAGTTATATCGAAAAAAAGTGAATTTTTGGAATTTCTATTCTATTTTTTTCCGTTATTATTAGAGATACAGAAAAACTGAAAATACTTTTTCATAGCAACTTTTGATGACGTTTAACGTGGTGATACCGATTTTTTATGCGACGTTTCGTATCCGTAGAACCATCATCAACTTTTGTTTTTTAAATACGGTCCTGATAATTTTTTCACAGATTCTGAAAGGTTTTTTTATTCTGAATTCAACCATGTACTATACAAGGTGATTCGAATGTGTTTCGACTTATTTCTATCCATCATCAATGTTTTTTCGAACTTCCAAAGGAAAAAGGCCATCAGTTCCACTTATTTCTGATCATTTAGTGTCAAACTTGATGGATTAGTTATTCAATACTGAAAAGTGAATAACAAATATTTCACTACATCATTCGATCAATGCAACTTTTAAAATTGTTGATGAATTCTTACACGAATTACTTTAACAACTTAACTTTGACAATACCTACAGAGACATTCATAACAAATGTTCGAAATGATAACCATTATTTTCTGAATAAAGATATGCTCTTCTCACAGTTGCTTCTAAGACATTGTTAAGCATTTCTGGGGTTATTCTATTGAATGCTTCGAAGACATTGTCCCTTAGTTCTTTTTCATCATCAAAGTTATTTGCGTGTACAAAGTTCGATATATCCCCTAAGAAAAAATCCAGCTGTGTCAAATCAGGTGACCGCGCCGGCCAAGGGATGAAAACGCACGGACTTCTCTGGAATTATGTACCGGAGCGCCATCTTGTTGAAACCAACAGTTCTGAACTTCCGCAATCGGTAAATCATCTCATCCAGAGCTTCCTCAAGATGATTCTCAAGCAAATTTCTATAACGTTCGGAAGTCTGTGTTCATGGTAAATAGAAGGACCAATAATTCGTGTACCAAATATTGCAACCCACATGTTAAAGCCGAAACGGTGTTGGTGTCTCGCTGTAATGTATAAATGTTTATTTTCTCGTGAACAATAATGTGTATTTTTTCTATCGAAGCTACAATGATTAGTGATCATGCTTTCATCAGTCCAGATGATTGTTCTAGGGAAATCTGCAAAATTTTAACATTTCCACTTACAGAATGTCCTGCGCCTTTCGTCATCGCCTGGTTTTAGCGCTTGACATATTCTGAATATTTATGGACAGAATTTTTGTTTCCGCAAAATGAAATGGGTTGTTGATTGAAACCAGTTGATGAGGTATCAGTGTGTTGACTAATTTTCCTTCAAAATAAGTGGAACTGATGGCATTTTTCTTTGGAATTTCGGAAAAACATTGATGATGGCTAAAATTAGGTTGAAACACACCTAAACCACTTTGTATAATACATGAATCTGTTAAAAAATTATCAGGACCATATTTAAAAAACAAAAGTTGATGATGGTTCCACGAATACGAAACGTCGCATAAAAAAATCGGTATCACCACGTTGAACGTCATCAAAAATTGCTATGAAAAAGTATTCTCAGTTTCGCTGTATCTCTAATAATAACGGAGAAAAATGATAAAATAGATATTCCAAAAATTCACTTTTTTCGATATAACTCAGAAACTAATGATAATTTTTGAAATTTTCGAAGGCTCTTGATATGAGCCTCCGAATGCGCAACTTTTTCCTCATTTAACCGACTTCGTATCTCTTACCGTTTTCGAGATCCCCATGCTGTCAACCTTATCTTGGACAAACTGTATACATAAAATAAATGTTAATCCAACGATTCTAACTGTGGTACAATTTATTTCAAATCATGTCATTTTACTAGATAATTTTCATTCCGTTTGTTGAATCTGGGTGTTGAACAATGCAGTGTTGCCGCTTCTACTAGAAAGTAGCAACAACTTTATTTCAAATGGAATACCCTGTATTTCATTGCATTTTTAGTTTCTCCTTGTAGAGTTGATTTCATCAATATATCACACTTGGGGTCTGGCAGATATGATGTTATTATGATCAAAGGTAATTTCGAAAGAATAATTAAAAGGTTTTTCTGTTCACTCTGTATCTCTTCCAATTAAGTGTCAGTAGATAGTATAGTTAAGATAGAGAAATGTGAGCCGTTTTGACCAATAATGAATAGTTTACACACAAAAAATTCTTGAGTTGAAAATTTTCGATTTTGAACACTATGTATATCTCTAATCATTTCCGATACGACCCAAATTTGAAATAAAGTTGTTGCTACTTCCTAGTACAAGCGGCAACACTGCATTGTCCAAAATTTTCAAAGTAAGAGAGCGTAATCTCAAATCTAAGCATGCACATTTTCATGAATTTCTTGCGACTGATTCTTGACGTGACATGCCATGTATGTCTCTGTCGAGTACCCATACTCTAGATAAACAAAAACGACAAAACAGAAGTGTCAAATACATTGAGGAACTCTAGGTATTAGGCTACTTGAATAGATTGTTATATGAGTTTGAACAATTCGAATTCAATTTGGCTGCATATAAATTTCAGACTTACTTCTAGTGAGCTCTTGATTTGACTGATGACTGCGTCTTTCTTGACAGCATATATATTATGGCTGATGATGGACTGTTGTGCAGGTTTCGAAAGCTGTTCCTCGAGCCACTGGACGACCGCTTCGTTATTTTCCCATCTGTAACCCTGGAAAAAAGTTTGAAATGTCAACGATAATCATTAAACTTGATTCGGTCGTTTACAACAACTTGAAGTCATGTTCCGTCAAAATAATAGAATATGGGCTTGCTTTAATTCCTTTTGACCAAACACTAAAACGACTGATAATTTCAAGAGCTTTTTCTTTCAAGGTCGGTGTTCAAGAGGCTTCTATTTTGAGTTCTAATGATTTCAGGATTGTATTGAATATAATTATTGAAGTAGCAGTAGCTAAGGTGATATGAACAAAACCATAATATCTTAGAAAAAAATATGTACACTACACACTGTTTCACCACTAACCAAACCGATTTTTTTCTACACCTCGACACGTGTTTTGTTGAATATGTTAGCAAGAAAATAGTGGTACACAAGCAGCAGTACTACAAGTAGTACAAAAAATTAAAGAAGGACTTGATACGGGAAATTACGTTGTAGCTATTTTCATTGACCTCAAAAAGGCATTTGATACAGTTGACCATAAGAATCTCTTAGTATACTTGGAATCGATGGGACTTACAGGCATTGTTAAATATCTTTTAGAATCTTATCTTGCAAATAGGACAATCAGCACTGAATGTAATATGTCAGAGTCTAATAAACTTCCAATAAGTAAAGGTGATCCACAGGGATCTGTTTAAGGGGCCCATCTTGAATTTATTATATATTCAAAATATTTCTAAAATTGGATTGTCAGGTAATTATACTATATATGCAGACGATACTGTACTTTTATACAAAAACAAAAACCCCATAATTCTAGAAAATACTATCAACGAAGATTTGAAAAAATTTGAAAAATGGCTTTATTCAAACATTTTATCAATTAATACCAATGAAACTGAATATATATTATTCCATCAGAAAAATAAACAGAATATTAGTCTCAATCTCCAAATTAAAAATGAAATATTGAAAAGAACTACACATATAAAGTATCTTGGTATGTGGATTGATGAAAAATTGAAATGGGACAAAAAAGTCATAAACATAGTACTTCATTCTCATATACTCAGTCGTATTACCTATATGATAAACGTTTGGGGATCTTGTTCAAAAAATTATTTCAGTAAAATATCTGCACTTTATAAGAAATCACTGAAAGTATTGTATCGTCTCTCATTTGATATCCCAACAAATGATCTGTATGTGATAACAGAAAAATTTTCATTGGATGGATATTACATATAATATCATAAACAATAATCTGAAATCCAATTTTGTTTCGATAACAAACTCAGAAATTCATGGTCATCACACAAGACAATTAAACTTATTTCATCTTGATTCTGCTACTTCTATAATTGGCCAAAAAAAATTTACTCACGCTGCTCTAGCTGAATTCAATAAATTACCAAATAATATAAAAATTGCAGACACATTTCAAAATTTAAAATTGAATTAAAAAAACACATGATTTTATTACGAAATGGATAAAATTGATACTCTGCCATCTACTGATTAGTCCCTGTGGCTCTTTTTATGACTTTTTTTTGGTATTTTTTGTTGTCGTTGTCACCTTATATTATTTTATTATTGTTGTTTGTAATCAACTTCCTCATACCAGAATTCTATTTCTGACTGGAAGCTAGTTTCTCAATAAACAATAAACAATCTTCAGGGGAAGATTGAAATATTAATATTCTTCTGAAGATGCACATAGTTAGCGAAACACGTGTCGAGGTGTAAAAAAAATTGGTTTCGTTAGTGGTAAAACAGTGCCGAAGGTTCTAGTCTTCGATATAAAAAAAATGCGAATAACTACTATTATCATAGCCTGTTCTACAATAACCTGATTTATGCCTACCTCGATAAACATACTTTGCCTGAGTGAATTTCGCTGGATCCAATGTGGTGTCAAAATGACAGGCAACAAACAACACAGTCATTCATATTAGTTAATACTAATCTGACGAAACAATTATTGAAGAGTGAGCACACCAGATCTTGATTTACATCATCTATGGGGATTTTGTTTTTGGACATTTTGAGGAAAAATTTCAAGAAATTAAAATCTCAATATTTCGATATTCGCCATCGTACAGTCCATTTAATGAATGTACATTTCAGCAGTGGCGGCTCGTGACTTTCATGACAGAGGAGGCTGAATGATATGAGATTTATTGTGAAAAACAACTCTCTACTCACACAAATCAATAGCTTCAATGACATTCTGTTTACCAATTGACCTGAACTTAATACTTGAAGAGATGTGTTCCTGTGATTTGCAGTGTCTATCCAATCCGCGAGGCAAATTTTTCAAATCATTATATCCTAATCGCCCCCAACATGATGACTTATCGGTTGAAAATAATACGCAGTACCAACAAAATAGCTTATTCCTTACCTCAGATCCCGTCAACCAGATATATTTTTTATAATTATCAGAATTGAACGAACGATTTTATTTGTTACCTCTGTTACAATCAGATTTTTTAATTCCGGTGTCGGACGTTTGTTTTTCACAATCAATTTATCTTCATAAGACAAAGCACTGAATGAGTTCACCAAAAAGTATTCCACTAAATCGCAATCGTTTAAAACACTCATTTTCCAGAAATTTATAGAGCCCCTAAATATTAACCTAACATAAACATAAACAATGCACTCGCGTTGGATTCTGGATTGTCCGCAATTCGCGACGCGAAACGACAAACACGTGCTATTCGGGCGTATTCGGGCATTTGCATTGCACGCGTGAGTTCCGAATTGTGAAGGAGTCTAGCCTCCTATAGATGTTGCCAAGTTGAATATTTTACGCGTGATTTCCAGACTTCAACGTGTGATGCGTGGGCAAGCACTGTTACCAATTCAAAAATATTTAACTAAAAACAGGAAATAAAATCAGAATCCATGTATTTTGGTGGCCTTTTGATGAGAATGTAAAGATAATATCAGTTTAGGGAAAAATCTCTGAGGAGACTCAGCCTCCGTTGCCTCCTCTGAGGAGCCGCCACTGCATTTCAGACACCTACCTAACATAAGGAGTTTATCAAGATTGACATATAATAAATTCAGACATTCTCAAATCCTATAATTTCAATGGTTTGCCGTAGAATCAATATCACTAACCTCGGATGCTCCTTTATCCTCGATGAACCATCTCCTCAGCATTGCTTCTCCTTGACCAAGGGCCAATTCAGGTTGTGCTTCCATCAGTGCCTTTATGACTCTGTCTTCCAGCAATCGCCTCCTAAGTCTCCAGTAGATAATTGTTCGTGATTTTCGCCATGGTATGATTTCCTGGAATCAAAAATAGTATCAGTTAAAAAAGTTCATAATACAGACTGACAAAAAAGCAGCATGATTGGCATATTAGTCGACGCCAAAATTGACTGAATAAAAAGAATTGCCAGTAATAACGAATTGAAGAGTTCTGAAAAACTTGACAGCTTCTAAAGCTAATAGCGTTTTCCACTCGTCGCTCTGGTTCGAACTTTTTCCGAACTCAGCGCATTCTGCGTGGTCCACTGGAAATGTTGAAAAATGATTTTCACTGGCTTGCAAACTTGCTCAAATTTTCAGAACGGTAATTTAGCGGCGACTCGACAATAAACAGACAGCATTAAATTCATCATTTAAGGTTAGATTTTGTCAACATTGCTCTGCGGTCAGGTAAGTGAAAGCAGTAGAGGGAAGCTGGTACTCATAAACAAAATCAAACCAGACCAATAGAGCACTTACATGGATTGCTCCTTTTTCCAACATTCTTTCAGGCGTGTCGTGCAAATCTGCAAAATGGACTGACACTTGATGGTACATGGGCAGCAAGAAATTTTCTCTCTCCTGTATCTTCTTCTCGAGCGCCACCACTTCCGGCGGCTTGGGCCTTTCGACCTTTTGTTGCGTTATGCTGGCCGACCTTTCTCTCGGCTTCACTTGCAGATTCAGCTGCTCGAGTTCCTTATCCAGTTCCGCTATGGGGCCGTCTAGTCGATGAATCGCTTTCAGGAGGTCTTTTTTCCTGAATTTGATCTCTACGATACCTTCAGGTTCGAGAACACCACCCCTATAATGGAATAAACTCTAATTGACAATTGTATAATAGGAGAGTAGACTAATTTTTTTGTTTCATAAATAGAATCATCACTCAAATACCTTTCGTTTTCATATGAGGACCACAGGGGAAAAAAGGGGAATGTCACACAAAGTAAGTTTCGAGAAAAACGCTTTTCAAAGTTTAAAACCTCCTTACTTTTTGGAAGTTGAAGGAAACTGAAATCAAACCACCTGGATTCATTTGATGGAGTACAATGAGTTACAAAGTTGAACAACTAGAAATAAAAAACCTATATATTTGAATGGAAAAATCATCGAAAACAACAAATAAGTCCGAAGATTCAAGGAAAAAATGGGGAATGTCCAAATAAATTGTCAAAAAACTAGATTGTTTACTCGCAATTATCTGCTCTGGTACATTTTTCCATTCTTGCCTGACTACCTAATGAGCGGTAAGTTGTCATGAAGTACATTTTCAATAAATTCTACGCGATATGAGTAGGAATCATCATGTAGCCATCTCATTATTTTATTCACATCACTCAGGCGTACTCGACGAGCCCAGTCAACACACCTTTTTGTCGTCAAACTTGAAATATGTCGAACAACTCTTTACCAGATCGTTAATACATAGAACGGCAAAGCTTTGGAATTTTTCACCTAACAGTATTACCGAGTACTAATAATCTCCAAAAGTTGAAAAAAATCTCAATACCTACCTCCTCTCCCTCTCCTCCCTAGGTAACCTCCATGTTTCCCTACATTCGTAGGCTCCAAGAGATGAAAAACATAATTTGACCGTATCTCTTTTTTTTTCTCTTATATTTTGTTTGCCTGAGAGTTCGCTTCGACCTTTTGACAGCGTGAAAACAACCTATTGAAATCACAATGGAATCTGTATTCAAGCAAGCATCACCTTTTTGAAGTGGGCATTCCGCGGTTTTTCCATGTGAACGTATTTTCGAACGAGCATATTAGCTGCGTTATTGCAATGGACTTCTTTTTGTACTAAAATATAGTGGTTAGGCTATCAGATGGCGGTGTCAAGTCAATTTTCACTATATTGTGACATTCCCCCTTTTCCCCTGTAGTCTTCATATTTTTCCAGAATTTTTCGATCGATTTCAAGGTGCTAGAAATTCTCCGCGAGTAAAAACTGACGTCACGATTTCGCAAGTAGGGGCAGACCATAGTACAGTTGCCATATGTTGAAATGCGATTGGAAACTTCAGAAATATCAGTTATTCAATAATTCATAAATTATCAATTATGTATTAGTAATATTCCTATTTGGCAGTGAAAAATCGATTGTCTCAAGATTTTCCCTCATGTGTTGTGGCTTATTGCTTATAATATATTTGTGGAAATAAAAATTATATCAATTCACACTAGAGGACATTCGAACTAGTAAACGTGACAACACGGCGCACACATTGTCTTATTGTCAGTTCCCAGCCAGCACAATGTTGCCAAGTCTTTAAAATTCACATATTTTGTTATGGAGTATAAGAAATATTTAACCATGCTGGTTGCTCGAAAAAGTCAAGAATGAACTATAATAATATCATGGCATCCTCTTATTATGCTTTATTCAAGGACAGGACTCTTAACATCTATTTGATAAATTGATTATAATTGGTGACTTGACAATCTTGCTTCATGAGTGGAAATGGAAGAACATCTGACCAATAACGAAACAGCATAAAAGCTGACGTCACCATTTATTCGACGTATCGCCAAATGGCGGCCATGACGGTACGTTTGAAGTTAGAAATTCAACGATTTTGAACAACGCATAGACTCATTCGGTCCGATTCACTAAGAGCGTGGTTATTTCAACAACTGTCATTCGGGTTGTTAATATGAAGGTCAGTGGTTATTTGAACCACTCAAAGATTTTCTGATTCGCTAGGCCTAGATGGATAATAAATTAACAACTTGTCATGTTTTTTTCCACTTTTTATAGTGGCAGATATCCACCATCTTTTTCTGGAGTGGCTAAGGATTTTATTAAAAAAATGTGGCACTATTTCAAGGAAATGTTCATTTTATCGCTTGGAGCGCACGAAAGGGAATCCCTATAATGCTAGATGTTGCACAGGAGGTAATTCGACGGCAATTAAGTATGAAATATCTACCTAATTATTTGTGAAAACAAAAAAACTACCTATTTCACTAGAAGAATAGCATCAAACAATAGAATTTAGAGGGATTCAACAAGTCCATCCCTAAATTTCGAAAATGTTATCACATTCCAAAAGTATTGGTTTTAGAGGTTTTGCTACCATTAATAGAATCACAGATGAAAGACGTTGGTTGGCTACTTTTATTCTACTACATGTGGAAGTGAATCTCAGTTGAGTTTTTGTAATATACCAGTAGGTATAGAGATAACTTAGAGAATATTTATAACTAATGTCTAGTATTTCAGATACTTGCTGCCTTACATTTACTTGAACGAGGATCCTATCAGGGGGACTGATTCTAATGTAGCAATGTCTCAACCAAGTGCTTGTAGAGTATATTAATTTTTCTACTCACATAACTAAAATGGCATTTATCGTACGGATATGTACCACGCTAAATGATCGATTAATCACGGATTGTCGATCTGTGATTTATTCAAAATATTAAACACGTTACCATGGCAACACGATTTCTTAAACACATCACCATGGCAACGCAGTTCATTAAACACAGCTTTATTAATTCTAGACATGTCTGGCCTGTCAATTGTATTAACTGTCAACTGTTATTTTCATATTTTGTATCAGAATTATTCAAACAATATTCGTTTGTATCGGAATTCTTCATTAAAAATATATGCGAAAAGTAGACGAGAGTGAAATCGAAGAGAATGTTCAGGTACTTACATAACTCCAAGAAGTGTAAAAATGAAGCATCCATCTTTGAGAACAATTTATTTATTCTGCGCTAAGCATGACAATAAACGTGAAACAAAGGTTAGTAAGCAATGGACTGGACAGATCTACAACCAATATCACTTATACGTGTCTCGCTGGTTGCATACAGTTGTATGTATTATATTTTGAATTCCCATTCCTTTCGAATTATTTTGTAGGTTAAGAGGAATTGCAGGTATGTTAATGTAATTTTCTGAGTTCGTAGAAAAATCATAGTATGTAACGCGTTTATAAACTCTTCTAGACACTCGTTTATTGAACACTCGCTCCGCTCTGCTCCGCTCGTGCTTAAACTACTCGTTACTAAAAGGACGTTTATAACACTTGTTACATAGAATAGAATAGAATAGAATTTTATTTGACCAAGTTACAATTCTTATGTTTTTGGCAAGTCACTGGAAGTACAAAATGGTTTTCAAAAACAATTACAGAATAAAATAAAATATAATATATAATATAAAATATATATAATATACTATTATAGGTTGAATTGACGTTAAAAAGGCAGAGATTAATGATATAGTTGATGAATGACTAACTTCACAGCTTTATTTTTATACCACTGAGTGGAAATGTAAAAAACTAACCACGTTGATAAATGTTGTTTTTATAGAATACCAAATATCAATAGTGGTGAATCTGGGGTGGTTAAAAAAGTTCTTAATAACAACGTTACTAATTTAGCCACCGTGTTGAATACTTCCTAGAGAATCGGACCGATTATTGGAAAAAAAGCGTGAGAAGTGTTGCAAAAATTAATTTAGGTCCATAACGACACAGTGGGGTAATTGAATGCCAATAATTCATTATCAGTCAACTCGTCCATTGAAAAATATGCCTTTTACGCTGACAGTGGGTTTTCCACGGCCCAATAGCGAAAATTCATCATAATGTAATGTTTTAGTATTTTTTTAGCATTTCTGAAAACCAAAGTTGACTCTATAGATACATCAAATATTGAACTCAACGAAATAAAGAAAATCAAGGTGTTCCTTTTAAAACTATATACATATACCTCCGAAACCATACCCAAAAAAAAGTTTCACAGCGAAAAGCGTGTCGCATATGCAACTTGTTTCATGATGTGCGCATGCTCAGTTTTAGGTTCCTTGGACTAAAACGGTGCTAGATGTTCAGAAGAGTTATTGATAAAACTATTTTAATCGAGATCAGACTAGATATTTCGCATGTTTTGTACAGAATTGTGAACGTACATGAATAGTATGCCACTATTTTGTATTATGACTGTTCACAATTTGAATCCGATGAAAAAGTTAATTGATTACTAGGTAAGTTCGGCAACCTTGACACTCATTCCTGATGACAACAGACATTGTTCATTGTCATTCGCGTTATTCAGAGACGGTTTTGATTTTGAGTTTTCATAATACTTTTTCGATAACGATTTGTCAGATTTTCTACATCGTTCTTTTGCTGATTATCTTTCCATAGGGCAATATTTTTGTTAGTTTTTGTAGTGGCAGAAGTATTCATTTTGTATGAGCATGAACAAAGGGTTCTTGTTTAGTGTTGTTGTGGTGCAAGAACAAGGGGAAGAGCGCTGGAGCTAATCATTTTTCGTGAAAATATTCAGTCCCACAACTGATGTACCTGAGATGGACTGATTATATTCATCATTAAATGTTAGCCGCATATTAAAATTGGATAATATCATATAATAGGCACTTTGGCATAAAAAAATGTGATGGTCCAGTTGGTTGGAGCAGACCGATTTTTGCAATTGTAAGATATTCATGCATTGCTGATGAAGAAGTCGCTGATTTGAATATTCTGACGTGTGTTATATCCATCATATATTCACAGCCTCAATAACAGTAGGTACAATGATTTCCCGCAAGCCAGCACTGTCCAAAATGAATCTTATTCTGCACATGCGCCAATTTTTGAATCATGGTTTATGTAAGTTCAAATTTTTATAATTCAGTACCTAACCTGTACGATATTCATTGTATTGCTAATGACAAAGTCGCATACACAGCCGATTTGAATATTCTGACATGTATTGTATCCATTATATCCACAGCTTCAGTAACATAGTGGGTAGTGTAGGTACAATGATTTTTCTTAAGCCAGCACTGTTCAAAATAAACCTAATTCTGCATAATATATTTCAACACACTTTTGATCCAATATACATGGGCATTCTAGTGTCAGTATATACAGGGTGGCCCTTTGAAAACGAAAAAGGTCGCCAAAACCGGATTATGAAAAAAATCTGAAACACGTCAACTAAATTTTCGATTGGGACATCGTTCTGAATTATTTTCGGCTCTGCGGCGTTGCCGCTTCTAACGAAAAGTAGCAACAACTTTCTTATTTCAAATGGAACTCCCTGTATTTCATGGCATTTTTAAATTCTCCCCAAAGAGCTGATTTTATCAATGTATTCAGGTCTAGTGGCAATGATTACAGAGCTATAGGGTGTTAAAAATCGAGATTTTTCAACTTTAGCATATTTTTGTGTCGAAACTATTCAATATTGGTCAAAACGGCTTTTATATCCCTATCTTAACTTTTCATTTACTATCAACTGACATTTAATTGGAACAGATACAGGGTGATCAGAATTCTGAATCTTGAACCACCGTGTAATTATCCCAATTAAATGTCAGTAGATAGTGAATCGAAATTCGAGATAGTCATGTGAGCCGCTAAGACCAATGATGAAGTTTCGACACAAAAAAATCCTAGTTGAAAAATCTCGATTTTGAACCCCCTTTATCTCTGTAATCATTCCTGATAGACCCCAAGTATGATACATTGATGAAATCAGCTCTTCATTAACAATCTAAAAATGCAATAAAATACAGGGTTTTTCATTTGAAATAACGAAGTTGGGGTCCACTTCCGGTACAACCGGAAGTGCCACAATCTTCAAAATATTTTAGCCGGATAGCACTTATCAACAATAGTGAACTAGCAAATTTTCAAATTCGGCCCACCTATATATGGATCGATGCAGTTCCCGGAGGGACACCCTATATAATAGATACAGTTGATATTGCATGATTATTTGCATTTTTTTTTGTTAACTTGTTATATTTTATTAATATTATTTCATGATTGTATGTATAACATTATGTATATTGTTTATGTATCCCTATTATAAACAACTGCGTTTTTGGGGTAATAAAGACAATAGATATATTGATAAAATCGAGTTTGGTTTACCAACCTGGAATCGTTGTCTGCGTACATTTCCATGTATCTAGAATTGATGGTAGGATCGACGACTGCCCAAGCTCCTCCTCGAAGCTCCCCATTGGGCGGAATGTAAATGATTATGGGTTGCTGGTATTTTCTGAGTCCATCGACGATATACGCGCCGAATTTCACAATTTGTTCGTACATATCTGCAAACGAGAAAATTATCGATATTCGTAATACGAAGATGAAAGATAAGAATGAAGTCTCATAAACATGAGTAGAAAGAAAAATACCTCCTAAGAAACATACATCATTGAAGGCTGCCTCTGAATCATATTTTCAAAATATTTCCTGAACAATTCGTTATAAAAAAAGCTTGTACAGGTCTAACCGCAACACTACCTATTCAATGAGGATAGCAGTGGATAATAATTAGAAATCAAATTTTATATTATCTCATAATCTATCATTGAGGCTATCTCTAGTTGTCTCGTCGCTCGTACGTCCACTCTGATGAGATTACTGACCACTAGTAAGCCTGACCCTTTCGTCCGTCAACCCCTGTAGATCTGCTGCCACCACCTAGTGTTTGTCTGCACTAGGACGGATATGTATAGCAGATTAATTTGGATCTAGGTTATATTTTTAGGGACAACTGATATTTAAACGCATTGCTTCGGAAGGAAAATAACTAAAATTATGTATGTAACTTATATTATTATTATTATTATTATTGAGTGATACTATTTTGCCAGAAATATTCGGCGATTGTTACGACAGCTTGTTGCCTAATAATTTCGTCGAATGACATTGTTTCAACAAAACTTTCGAGCCGTAGGCGAGGAGAAGTTTTGGAACAATGTCATGAGCGGTATTAAAGCAGCAAGCTGGAGTATGTCAATAGACGAATATTTCCAGGATAAATTTTATCACGATTTGGGATTTGTATTCGTATGAGTATTCCATGATTGAGACAATGAACGAGCGGCTTGCGACAGTTGCGCACACTGCATCCATCATTCTGGTTTCCAACATACTTGACATTTAAAACGTCCAAAATTTTATCGTAGAGAAACGAGGAAGGTTAGTCACGTGTGGGTCAATTCGGCTTCTGTATTAGTAGAGCAAGTCCGATAGAAGTAAACAAAAAATATCGCTGTAATACAGAAGTAACCGTGAAAATGGCCAATTCTGATTGATTCTAGAGACCGTGGTAGAAGTTTCAGTTTCTATCCACGTTGGATTGCCGGTAGGTGGGTTCGACTCCCACCACGACCGCAGAAATCTTTCTGATGGCCTAAGAAAGTGTTCGGGATCACACGTTAAAAGGTAAGACCCCCGACATTCGTTGCTCGCACAAGTCTCTTGAAAACTTTTGAGGGTTCCTGGTGAGGGGTCAACCGAATGATGGATAAGAACAATTTTAGAACAATTCAGAACCAAGAGTGGAATAGTCTTAATAATAACATAGCAGAAAGGCTTTCTCGGCATCCAAACGATAAGCAGATAAAATTGATCTGATCTCACCCAAATAACTATTCGTCAACAACGACCATGAATAACCATCCCTATATGTTCAGTTACAGATCTTTCTTTCTCCCTATATCTTGGCCTCAACAAGATTGTATCACTCTGTATTAGCGCGTTCGCGTTCTTGCAGCAGTATTAGTATTATTTGCATTTTGATAAACAATCCCTTGGTTCTCACGATGTTCTCTGAACATTACAGGATATCCCTTTTCGTGGAAACCAGAACATAAAAAAAATTGAATATTCAAAAATATGAATGGAAGATTAATCCATAATGTGAACTTCAAACCGATTTCGCATTCTAACTATTGCCATCCGAAGCTTTTTTTTTTTTTTTTTTTTTTTTTTCGAAGCTTATTTTGCGTATTTCCGAAATCGAATTCACAACGTCAATATCTCACGCTCATTTCTCATCGATACCTTCGACCCGACTCCCTGCTCTTTTTTAATTCGTCTCTCTCTATTCTCATGTCTCTCTTATGTTCAAAACGCTGATTTTGCAATTTTAGTCCAACCGTAAAAATTCGTTCGATACAATAAGCTTTTTACATTCAGGGTGGCTGTTACACAGGAGCTCAACTTTTCATCAGTAATATAACGATATTTCAAATACAGATGTATAGAAATTCAAATCGTACCGAGTTTAGAAATGTCTCGTTATCACCCACTTTGTAAGAATGGCAACGCGTGGGAGAATCTATCTACTCTAAACAGCCAAAATCAAATGTTTGACACCCTACAGCTCGGAAAATGGTCATAGAATCGATCTGTAAATTGTAATGTATAATGAGGACGCCAATATCTGGTATCTGCAGCATATCAAATTTACAAAAACATTCGCGGAAATGCCATTTTTTGTTGCATTTTTGTTCTTTTCGATAATCATCACGCGTATAAATTGTAGGTTCTGCCTCAATACATCTCTTCGCACAAGATTTACTATTTTGTATCCACGGCAAGCTTTTGACGTTACTCACGAAATAACCTAGATCAAACATGATAGAAATTATTTTTCCTTTTTAGTGCATTTGTATAAAAGCTTGTCTTTGCTTTTAATTGTAAAAATATCCGACCACAAGAGCCCCATCCGCCATTTTCTCAATGTTGATGAAAAATTTATAATTTTCAACCCAGAAAATCTCCAGATACCAATTTTGAATAGAATCGGATCAAAACTACAATACTCGTTCGCCATATCTTATCCGCCATCTTGAATTTCCCAATTTTGACGAAGGAATCATAATCTCCCACCCCGAAAACTCCCAGATACAAATTTTGAATACAATCAGATTATAATTACAAATCTCGTCCGCCATATTGGAGCCGCCATCTTGAAATATCCAATTTCGACAGAAGAATGGCATGGCCAGCTCGAAACCCGGATTGAATACCATTGATAATCTGTTGGACATTCTTGGGAAATGATTATAAGAGGAACGAAACTTGAAAATTTTGGAAAATGCATGGCAGATGACGATTCAATGATTGATGATTCAAATTTGGGAAGACCTGGACCTTAGATCTCTTATTGTGGGTATACGCCGTCTTTGCCGAGAAGTTTTTCGTGCCCGCGGCAGAAATACTCGATACTGACTCTTTCGTTCAAATTGAGACTTCACAGTCTATTTCATTTTTTTGTGATTCAATTTGGATATTAATTTTCCATAAAATCAAGTTACGCTATAAAATGGTGTTTCTCCAGTAATAGGAAAGATAATGGAGTGAATTCAAGCATGAAATATTGTAAATAGATAAGGCTAAAGCGTGACTTCAATTCTAACTCGATAGTGTAACAATTACACTCCACAGGGGATTATAAATTTCAAGAAAAAAAAACGCTGTAATTGCTACACTCGGTATGTATAAAAAAGAGGTATTTATGCGAATACAGCTTCCACACCAATGTTCAGAAGGAAATAACCTATCGAAAAGGAATTTTCTCAGATATATTCATGAACACAAAAAATGGATATACAGGGTGTAACTAAATAAGTGCAAAACATTTAAGGGGGTGATTCCTCATCGAAAAAAAGATAGGATCTTTCATATAAAGAAACTTCATTGGAGGATACATAAAATTTGTTTAATAATTTTTTTCACAAATTAAGAACAGAACAACAATACACAATTAGTATTACTTCAAGTTTAAGAATTTACAAACTGACAGCTTGATACCAATTTAATTGTCACTATCGCTAATAGCGGCCTACTAAATTAGTTTCGTATTTTCGTTTTTTGGTATATGTATGTTGTTCGTAAAATAATTTTTTGCTGCGAACTGGTTTATTTTGGGCAAAAAATTCAAGAGACATTTTTGTTTAGAATGAAACAGGCTATCGAAAATACATTTTCAAATGGTGAACAAATAATAAGAAAAAAAGTTACATTGGAAATAAAATCTAGGGGTTGCGTTTTCCACCCCTCACAACCATGGGGTAAACCAAAAAAATTACTGGCTAAGTATCTTTTTGGTAGTAGAAAATGTCAGATTAATTTCAATACTGTAACTTTTTTAGTGCTTGTGAAAAAATTTGTTGAACAAATTTTATGTACCCCCTTCAAGGGGCTGCATCTTAATATGGGATGCTCCAATGAAGTTTCTTTATATAAAAGATCCTATCTTTTTTTCGATGAGGAATCACCCCCTCAAATGTTTTACACTTATTTAGTTACACCCTGTATATATAAAGAAATACATTGAGAATTCGCATTCTCCATGTGATGGAAATATTGATTCTTTCTCGGTTTATTCAACAGAAAACAACTACTTTCCTGGCTATATGCCACGACGAACATTGAATTACATCTATTGAACACACACGATAAGAATTTGAAAACAAAATCTTCTGAAGTAGAGAATTTGCATTCTCCTTCATATAAAGATATGCACATAATATCATTCTGAATATTCAACAGAAAACAAATACTTTCCTGGCTATTTGCCATGTCGAACATTGAATTATATCTGTTGAATATCCAAAAAGAGAGCATGAAAAATCAAAATCCTCTGAAATCCTCAAATCGAATAGAATAATATGATGTATTATGATAGTAAGAAAAAGAAGAAAAAAATATTTTTGTTGGTGCGTTAATTTCTTGGAGAAGTGTATGAGGGAAATATTCGCCACAATGAATCTCTGAAAACAATCCTCGAAACTGACCTTTCATCCCGCCGCTGAACCCTCGCCAATTGGCAAACACGACCAGCGGCAGATCCTCCCTGGAAAAGTCCTGAATAGCCTGCGCCGTCTTGAACGCCGAATCGGGGAACCACACCTGCCCCGCTTGCGACACCGTCTTCGCCTCGCTATCCAAGTTGGCCGGGTCGGCGGGCAGCCTGAGCTCGACGGTGCGCGTCTCGACGGCGATGACGCCGACGGGGATGCCGCCCAAGCGGGCGCGCCCCGTCACGACGGTCTGCGCCCAGGGTTGCATGATCTCCGACCACGAGCCGAGGTCGAAGAAGCCGCTCTCCCACTTGCTGGGATCGCCTGGAACAGGAGAAATCGGAGTTGAGCACAGGCTGTGCCATTTTCGATGTCCTTACGGGACATCTCACTTATTTTTATACAGGTTGCCCATTAGAGGTCTTCACAGAAACTTATTACATAGTTCTTAAGACTTAAACAATTCGAATGGAAAAACTTCACAAACGATAAGATTTCCACAAAATTCTCAAACACACGACATGTTTCGCATGTAGCTTCGTCAGGTGATATACTGGTACGATTATCTAAACTAACCTTGACTTGCTTATATATCCTACTTTCCCGACCTGAAGGATTAGTTACCTGTGGACAGGATTAACCGGATCAACCTGAAAGGGTTGATATCAAATACATATTATTACTTACTAAGAAAATAAATCCAACAGTGGTGAACTATTGAGGTCTAGTTGATCGTTAAGTAAAATGTCAGAATTGTTGAGCTTGTTGATTTCTGATGATTCAAAATGATTCGAGTTTCATTCCTTCATTTTCTACGTGTAGAATTTCGGAATTATCATCAAAACTATGGGTTTCTTCTAATATATGGTTGGCGTACGTTGAATTTGTTTTCTTTTTCAAGAAATTCATCTTATGTTCATGAATGCGCTGATCAAACGTAAGACCTGTCTGACCGATATATACCTTAGGACAAGATCCACAGTTGAGTTTGTATATCCCTGACTTTTCGAATTTAGAAGTTTTGTCTTTATTATTCTTGATAAACCGCCCCAACGTGTTATTTGTCCTGTTTATGTAGAGATGAAGCTAATTTTTCAGTTGATGATCCAAAATAGGTTAAAGTGGTATAATTCTGATTATTATTCTCGATGGTTGGATAAACTTCTTAAATAGCCTTATTATGAAGTTTTTTAGAAAGAATTCTGTCTATCGAATTCAACGTTGAATCCGTTGTTGACTTCAATTTGTTTCAAGATAATGAATTCTTTATTGAAATTTACTTCCGAAAGAGGGACATTCACTAGCCTGTGTATCATACTATTTATTATATGCTGCAATTGTATGTTGATAAGGGTGTGTTGAATTATTATCGTAACAGTATATCACCTGACGAAGCAACTGTGGAAATCTTATCGTTTGTGAAGTTTTTACATTTGCCATGGATTTCCATCAAGTAACGGCCGGGTCAATTCAAAAAATTAAACAATTCGATACATTCTTCTTCAACTGAGCCACCCAAATTTCAGAGAGATTGCTATCAAAGATTCCGAAATATAAATGAAAACCTTGAAAAACCTCAGTTTATTTTGAAGTTTCATTAATTCCTGAAATTTGACCATGTTAAACACTGTCCCACCCATAATCAGAAAAAATTCCATTTGTATCAAATTTCTGAGGAAAAATTTAAATTCTCACCATCAGAAATGATTGTTATCTCAGCTATCAAACAAATAAGACTCAATTAGATATAAAAATAGGAGTGCATCTTGAAAAGCATATAGATTTTTTCCAGTCTGATACAATTTCAAGTTGCTCAACAAAACCACTTTTCAGAATTGTCATTCGAAGAAGTTATTTGTATTTTGAATACCTTACCCCCCATTACCCCCAAACACTTTCGACTACCCTGTACTTACTAGGAGACTGCCTGCCCTCTAACATCCACCTAGGATCATAGGGTGTTTTTGTTGGGGTAAATGTGACTTCCCTATTGATTGGATCGACTGGTTTGATTATCGGAACTGGTGATAATTTATCCTGCAAGGAATATCAGATCATATTATACAGCAATTAATAATTATTAGTGGCCAAAAGGATCGATTATCGCACAAGCTACGCATAAAAAATACAAGTTGTTTCGTTTAAAAATCAAAAGTTAGGTCACTATCATCATAACCAGATTCTTATTGTATCCCAAGGCACAGACCTACCAGAATACTGAAGGAAATATGACATCAAGACATACATTATTTATTTGGGGAGAAAATAATAGGTAAATTTGATGGATTTGAGGTATATCTGAATGTTCTCCTTCATTTTATAAGGCTAATGAGAGTTCTACTCTTATCAATTTCTCTTTCAATTCAGATTGTTATATCTTCACAAACCTAATATGAGTGTATTCGGGTAGACAAGTTGTACTTGATTATGTAATAATATAGGGTACCATTTCAGAAAATGTAGTTGTTACTTCCGGTCAATACGGAAATTGAGTAGTGTTTTCATTACTTTTATTTCAGCACCCTGGATTTAAATTCAATTTTTGAAGAACAGGTGTTTTTCTTGCTCTTGATGCATTTTATCTTAGTTCAAAGATTGAGTGTTCAGATTATTTTCCTCTTTTATGATTCTAATTTTAGTGAAACGATAAGAACAACAAACGTTTATACCACTGTGTTTTCTGATGAAATGTGAGAAGAATAAAGTTCCATTGTAAAATTCGAAACTAGTAAAATTTTTAATTTTGAATGAAATGAAATTTCATTTATAAGGATCAGGACTTTATCTTTGAGTTTGTTCTATCATAAAAAATCATCAATTAAGTCATCTTCACTTTTAGAGTTTATAGAGTGGTTTGTGAATCTATGTGGAGATTTGTTGTTTTATTCATTTTGTTAGTGAAAGATTGAAAATATTGAATTTGGATAGTCAATACTATACATACTCATGACACTAGACAATGGGCTAGTGGACTGGTCGTGAATAATAGCCATTCAAATACTTCACTGTGTCGATAAGGACCCGAGTTGATCTTTGCAGCACTTTTCAAGTGTTTTTGATATAAATAATGTGTCTATGGGTTGTTTGAAATTGTTGAATTTCAAAGCTCATTTCAAACGTACCGCCATGGCCGCATAGTTATTAATTTGTGACTTTTTCGAGCAACTAGCATGTCAAAATATATCGTATTCTCCATAACAGAATATGTGAATATTGGCTATAGAGATCTGGTAATGCTGTGCTGAATGCTGGGAACTGACAAGACAACGCCCACAGTCTGGTGTCATGTTAATCAGGCCAAATATCCTCAAGTGTGAATTAATATAATTATTATTAACACGAATTCATCATACTCAATAAGACACAACATATAGGAGGGACAATTCCAAAGTGTTTCTAATCACATCGTTTGTTTTCAATTTATTCTGAACACATAAGGAATAGAAAACTGAACAGAATTTTCGCACCTTCTCTTTCGTGATGATGGTCACTATTTTTTTACCAGAAATGTGTGTTCTAATCTACTGTCAACATGAAGTTAAACATTGTACGCAAAAATTAGCATGCTATAACAGCAAGAATTCTGAAATAGTCTAAAAATAAATCAAAATCTTACCTTGGGTATATAAGATAACCACTTCAGGATTGAGTAAATACCTTCCAAATCAGTCTGATCAGTTTTGTGTGTTACACCATTATTATGCATTATCTGGATTCCACCCAGTTGATTATTAGATGCATATACCTCCCTACCAAGTAACTGGAACAATAAACATATTTAGTATAACCATCTGAGGTGATTCATCATGTAGTGGAGTGAAAACAATAGGAGGGAACGTAAATCATACAGTCGACTCCACCAAAATTATACTTTGATGTAATCATACATACATGTAACATATTTCCAAGCTTTAAGGCTTCATCATCAGTAAACCATGCTCATATATTATTCCAAATTTTTTGGGATTTTCTCATATAATTTAATAAAATTGAAAACTAAAAACATCTTGAAAAATAAGCAAATAAACGGAGCCCAACCAAGTGCAGTTTCTTCAAAAAGGTTTTGAGAATTTTCAGAAATAACTTTTTTTCTCCAAAGGAGACACCTAATAGGCCGCAAAGGTGTACTTTCTCTGCCTAGGCAGAAAAAGCTTGTTGCTGTGCAACGTTCCAAGTAATTTGAATGAAATTGGTAATCAAAATCGACAAAATTGATTTTATAACATTTGGAGAAAAATAATGTTTCACATGGCAGCAAAGTAACTTGTTTATTGCGGCCTAGTAAAACAAATAACTATTTTCACGTTATCGAATATCTCAACTTCTCTTTCCATTTTAGTTTTGATAAATCAACAAAGCTCTATTCAAAATGTATAGGTTGCAATAACATCTAGAGATTCATGGTTATCTACTAAAAAAATAGAAACAAAGCGACGTTACCATTGTAATTGCGGCAACAATATGCGCTCAAACAAAGGGATAATGTGATGCGAAGGTGGACCTCAGAGCAAAAAAAAAATGTTTGGCAACGTTGCTTTGTCATATTAGATACTCATGAATCTCTATGCGTATTCCCTTCTATAGATGGTTCACCTATGACAAGATTTCGTTTGACAGACATCTATAATTAATAAATATGATATTTTGAAACACACACCTTATTCAAAGCACTATATCCAGTGAGAATGATGTGGGAGTTTTCAATTTGTATAACTCTCTGTCCTAGTCGGACTAAATAGGAACCAATACCAATTGCTCGGCAAGAAACCATAGAAATCGTAACAATTTCGTCATATGCCCTTGAGGTTTCACCAGCTATCATACCAGCATACTTCAAGTTTTCGACACCTAAAGCGTCATCCTTACCTATAATAAAAACATATATTATCAGTCAGCACTCACAATCAGGGAAAAATGCTCATTTCAAGGACAATAATTCTAGATAAATATATATCGTGAGGTTCAAACATCGACTGGTAATGTTCAAAATAGGCTTAAGCAATGTTTACTCCAGTTAAAAACTGAAAAATATCTTGTAACTACATACTATTTATTGGTATATTCGGTATTATATTGCATTAGAGTGTAGGTTTAAATCACCGAAAGTTCAAGAGTGTTTATTATGCAACCTAACTTTGGTACATGAAAAATTATTCTCAATTTAGTTATGTAACTTAATAATAGATGAAAATTATGAAAACGGACCTTATCTTCAACAATAATTCTGTTCATTCTTGAAAAAGGCATTAAACGCTAAGCTGGTCCGAGTCCCGCTGCCTATTATTTCGGACGAGTTGAGTTAGTGTCTTAGTCCGCTTATACCACTGCATTCACTAGCGAAGTGATCTAAGCTTTCAAGGATATTTTCCCATATTTTGATGCGCGAACCAAGTAACAATACAATACACGCAAACTCCTCACCAAAATGATCTAATAAATGGTCTAACCAACATAACACTGGTATTAATGTTATTGTATGCATAGGGGATGAATACACTACGACCTTAAATATCTATTGTGACCCCTTCTCTTGCTATACAGGGTGAGTCATAACTATGCGAATTGTTTGGACCAAAATATGGCAATAGGACCTTGTATGCCTCAATAATATATTTCTGTGGAGAAAGTTACAGGGCGTTAATTTTTTTAATTTTTTTGCTTACAATTTCATTGTATATTTATCAATATATTATTTCATGTATCATTCCACAGTTTGTTACTGGGGGCGCCAGGTGAATTATTCCTGTTGATGAAAACGACTTATAGGAATTATTAAGATATAATCCTATAATGAATAATACCAAAGATGTACATTTTTGGTAATCAAAATTATAATGTTTATTAAATCGTCATGGTTAAGACATCTGCAATTACATCACTATGATAACGACTTAAGATGTAGGTATAACATGTGAGTAGCCTACATAGCCCCCCTTCAAATAAAAACTAATCGACATAAAAACAACAATAACAACAATATCAGTGAAGTGAAATAATGAACATTGTTGTCCCAAGAAACCTTTTTCTTCTTGGGATTTATATCAAGAATTTGCGGAATGTGTGAGGAATCATCGTCTAATTTCACGCAGTGGTTTTCAAAAAATGCTGGTTTCAAACGATCGATTGAAATAGTATTCAGACCATTAACATCAATAATGAAAAATTTCTGCATTCTCTTCAACAATTTCATCATTCATTATTCTAATTGAAAGTTGGCTCTCAAAGGATATTCTCGATTCTGAAATCAAAGTTTCCTCATACAATGTCTTCAGGTGTGATCGTAGCTGTGAAACAAGCACTAAATCTAGGGGAGGTGGAGTACTGATTCTCGTTAAAGACACAATAAAGGCAAGGAAGGTGAAGTCGACAATCAGGTCAATCGAGCAGCTGTTTTTAGTGTGCTGTAATGGTAAAGATAAGTTCTTGATTGGAGGCGTTTATATTCCACCTCAAGCAGCAGAGACCATTTATCTACAACAGTGCCAGGCTGTCGAAGAAATCATTATGGAATACAAGCATTGTAAGTCTTTTATTTTTTGGCGATTTCAATATACCTGAAGCCCAGTGGACGAATGAAGATACTGGAGTTCTGGTTAATTGTCCTCAAGGATCTCATGCATTGCCTCTAGCACAATGTTATGCATTCTTGAATTGTTATCAAAGAAATGAAATTCCCAATTCAAGAAACGTGTTTTTGGACTTGGTATTCTCGAATGTAAATAACTTAGTTATAAGCACAGCAACAGGCCCTCTTTTTTCAAATAGTATGCATCACTTGAGCTACACCTTTAGTATAACAAATTATGAAACTGTCTCCAAAACCTCAGAATACACAGAATTTTACTATGACTTCAAAAATGCTGACTACGACGGTCTGAACAACTACTTAGCTGCCATAAACTGGAACGAAAATCTTAATTTGTTAGAAGTAAATGCAGCAACTGAAGAGTTCTACCATATTTTACAATTGGCAATCGCATTGTTTGTGCCTCTCAAAAGATTCAAAACATCTACATTTCCTAAATGGTTTAATGCGGAGTTGAGGTACATGGTCAAACAGAAAAAAATTGCTCACAAACAATACTTGTTCAGTAAAAGCAATCAGGATTATCAAGCCTTTTCAAGGTTAAGATCTTCTTGTAGGAATCTATCAAGAATGTGTTATGACAGTTATATAAGAGATGTGAATGCCAAACTGAATTCTGATCCCAAATATTTCTGGCAATTTATAAAACATAAGAAGTCATCGAATAGTCTACCGTCTACCATGTACTATGAAAACTCTATAGCAGGAAGCAATGAACAAATAGCAGAATGTTTTGCAAATTTTTTCTCTTCAGTTTACGATAGGTCTTCAGTTCAACCTGATGACCTTAATTTTGTGAATAATAATTATATTTCGAATCCAAGCTTATCGGTTGATTTAGTATTTGATAAAATTACGAAAATTCCATCTAAACTCAGTGCAGGCCCTGATGGAATTCCAAATATGTTTCTGAAAAAATGTATTTACTCATTAACGTATCCACTATACCTAATCTTCAAGTGTTCATTAGCTCATGCAACTTTTCCGGATGTTTGGAAACACAGTTTTATTGTTCCAATTCATAAGTCAGGAGATAATGATAATATTCAGAATTATCGAAGTGTGTGTAACCAGTCATCTATTCCAAAATTACTAGACAGTTTGATTTCAGACCAGCTCAACTTTTTTTGCAGAGAAAGCTTGATAAATTCTATTGCTACATCCACAGGCTTCTCAATATTCCATTATCATCAACTGAATACAACAGAGAACTGAATACTATCAAACAAATAGCATGTAATAATGGTTACAACCCAAATTTGATCCCAAAGCTAATTCAAAAAATCAAACATAAGAGAGAACATAATCTAACTTATCCTAGAGAAGAAGTTTACAGATATATATCCCTACCTTTCACAAATGAAAACATCTCTCAAAAAGTTTCAAGTTTCATCAAAAACAAGTTAACAAACACCAAAATATCTTTCAAAAGCACTAATAATTTGAGCAAACATTTGGTTAATTCTAAAGATAAAATCAATAAATTATCTAAAAGTGGTATTTACAAATTAAATTGCAATGATTGTGAAGCTTCATACATAGGCAGAACTTGTAGACCTTTGAAAGTTCGTATAGGAGAACATTTGAATAAAACAGAATTTTCAGCTTTTGGCCATCACATCAAATTCAGTAAACATAATTTCAGTCCAAATCGTAATTCAAAAATTCTGAAAGAGGTTAATTCAAAAAATTACAATAGACTAGATTTTTTGGAAGATTTAGAAATCGAAAAAGAACTTCGAAACAATGACCTTTGTTTGAACACACAAGTACAATTAAATAGATGTTACATTCCTTTACATAGACGTTTGAAATAATAAGCAATTCTCCATGATGATATCCATTATAACTCATACAAGACACTGTTCCGGATTTCGGCTTCAACAAGTCTGAATCTGGCTTACTTTTCGGACTTGAGTCCGGTCTACGCTTGAGGTCGGGAGGCTCAACTGATGTTGTCATTCTCTTGTGGATTCACAACTTGGGTTGGGCATCCTTAGATCTTCGGCTCGAACACTAGGACTTTTGAGTCCGAAATGGAAGTCCTGCTCTTTAATTTTCACCCAACACAACAAAATTGCATTCAGGATCCGGCTTACTTTTGAGACTTGAGTTCGGCCTTCGTTCTGGGTCTGGAGGTATTCTGGTGGTATGTTTGCTTCTGATGAGGCATTCGTCTACAGGAATTCTCCTTGGACTTCCAGTTTGGACACTAGGACTCTTAAGTCTTGATTGGAAACTCTTTTCTCTCAATTTTACTAAAAAAGGTTTACTCTTTAGCCTGGATTGAAGTCCACTTCATCTTATTTTACCTTTCAGAATGTTTCAAAATTTTCAGACAGCTTTTCTGCTCACCTTGTCAATTCTTTCCCAAGCGCTTTTTTCATTATGTCACTTGTCTACTTCATACACATGTTAACTAAGTCATAGACATTGACACTCAGTCATTGTCAACATTTTACTAAGGTTAAAAATTATCAAACATTTTCCAGAATAAATAAGGTTAAGGTCCCTCGTGCTATTTCTGGACTTGAACAAAACAAGCTCAACATGTATTTTTGAAAAAAATTTTACAATAACCCTTTAGGGAACATTTTTGTTAAATGTATGTCTGTTCATAATCCCGTTTGTACCATAATGATGTTTGTGATCACTAATTTTTGGACCTTTTTGTAAATACTTGACGAGTAAGTAATCTACCTTTTTAGATTTGTTTTTGAAATTTCACAAATGTTACTTACTTGCAGGTATAGCACTGATGATGGCTTTTTAGCCGAAAGCGCTTTGCGATTTATAATTAAAAAATTTACACGAAATACAAAATCTCTTCATTCTATTGATAAATAATCAGCATGGCTTTTCTAGAAACAAGTCAACTATTTCCAATCTTCTGGTATATGAGCAGAAAATATTAAAAGTTTTGGAAGGTAGATGTCAAATGGATGCCATATACACCAGTGACGGCTCGTCAGGGACGGCAGGGTCGGCCGGGCCGTACCAAATAATTTGGGGAAAATTACTGAACTATTTGATGAATAAAATTATTTTCCGAAACTGTTTTCATAATTCATCGCTCATTATCCTACTGTTATGCCACTATTATTTGAATTTCATTCATGGAACCTTTGAGTATGCCATCCGCATATACACCGAAAATCACGAACTAATTCAGGACCTACGACATCTGGTAATCCCATCGTCAAAACGCCGCTTTCAGTCGAAACGCTCGCGTAGCTCATTACACTGATGCAGACGGCCGGCCGATCGGTGATTTCATATC